GGGGTCCTCAACGGCAAGGGAGTCAGTTGTTGAAGCCCTCATGCCCAATCCGCAAAGGTCTCGGGCTGCTGACCAGAGCACGCGGCTGGAGGTCGTTGCTTCGGAGACTGGTAGGTGTTCCATCTTTTGGTCTTTGCCCGTGGAGTCTTAGGGATTTTGTCACTCCATGGTGAAACTATTTTTATTCTGGCTATAGATGTCTCGTCTCCGGCCATTGATCCTAAGGTCGCGACGTTCTCAACCTTCGCTCCACAAGTCCTGGACTGCCCCGCTGGTGGCGAAGTGGATGCCGGAGTCCTTTTGCCAAACGATGATAAGGTTGTGGATAAGGTGGAGATCGAGAGGCATGAGGCTTGCATGCTTGAGGCCGTGGTACCACCTATGGTGCCGCTAGAAATGGGGTCCATTGTCCCACCTTTCATTTCTGCATCTTCGTTGGAACCTACTGCCGACACCTCGAAGTCTAATGCCAAGGGGCAGGACTAGAGGAGGAGGAAGACAAGGAGGGTGGCCTTAGACTATGGCGTGGTGTCATTGCCGCCTTCGTCGTTCTTGAAAGGGGATGAACAAGGGCCAGATGTGCCGAAGGAGACCAAGGCCGCCAAGACCATGAAGCCTTTATACTCCTCTATTCGGAAGCAAGATGACTCGGTGGAGTTGAGGTTCGCGGTAATTTACCCTTATCCCTACCAATTGTATTGTTTTCCCGAATCCGGAACCTGGAAGTTGTGCGTAAACTGTAGATGGGCCGGCCCAAATCTCTCGATAGGTCGCGTCGCGTGTGCGTTTTCCCGACTGTTTGACGCAAAATGCGTCAAATAGGGTTTGCCCATAAAAATTGCAGTCATTTGTCTGAAAAAAGATAGCCATGGGACCCAGCCCTATTACAACATGGGTGCTACCGTGCATGCTCTGCTCAGGCCTGGTCCGGACTTCCCACTTGTTTATAGCATCGTTGCTAATACAATCTCTCGCGCTCGCAGAAGACCTTTCTCTTAGAGCCTCATGGTGGTGTGTGACTGCAAACCGATGGTACATGATATACAAGACAGAACTAAAGGAGCTTATTTGACAGTGATTAGAGAGATTTCACTTTATAGGTCCAACTTTAGTAGTGCAGTTTTACTTTTGAAAGTAGAACATCGAATGTGATGCACATAATCTAGCCAAACACTCCCTTTTGCTTGATCAGGGTCATCACTTGTCGCTCATTTCTCCGCATGCCCAATACGCATCCCTCTTAATGTTCAAATGAATCAATGAAGTGCTGGCACCCTTAAAAAAGAAAATAGTCCCTCAACAAAAAGAAGTACGAAACAAAGGCACTTACTGATACAATATCCCAAAAACTACTCCCTCCGTCCTACTCCCTCCGTCCGAAAATATTTGTCAAAAGAATGAATGTATCTAGACGTATTTTAGTTTTAGATACATCCATTTTATGCATTTCTACGACAAGTATTTCCGAACGGAGGGAGTGAGTATAATTTAAGACGTAATGGGACGGAGGGAGTATGAAACAGAGTACTCTCTCCATTCCTAAATATTTGTCTTTCTAGAGATTTCAACAAATGGCTACATACAAAACAAAATAAAACAAAATAAGTGAATCTACACTTTAAAATATGTCTATATTCATAGGTATGTGGTAGTCTATTTGAAATCTCTAAAAAAACAAATATTTAGGAACTACTCCGTCTAATATTTAGTAACTACTCCCTCCGTCCTATAATTTAGGACGTAATGGGACGGAGGGAGTTTGAAACAAAGTACTGTACAAGACACCCTTGACACATGCAACTTAATTATTATAAATCCCATAGGATCAACGAAAAAAAAAACAAAAAAGACGTCATGGCAACTTGCCAAACGCAACACAAGCTATAGCCGTGTCCCCTACGTCGGAGGGGGAGAGATCATCCAGACACCAACAGAAACCAGGCAGCAAACCTTCGGAAGCTTCCTGGTGCCATTGTGCGTTAATGACTCAGGGAATAATATACCTCAAACATTTCGAATGGAAAACTTCGCGTCCGGTAAGTTGCACCTCCTGCCAGGCTACAAGGCATCCAATTCTGTAAGAAGCATCCAACTGCACCGTGCCATCAATCACTTGCTACAATAATTCAGGAAGCCTTTATTCTTGCTTCATGTAGGATTTGTACTCTGCACACTTGGGAGACCCAAGAAGCGGCCTATAAATACCTTGGTCCATCCATTCCCCAGTTCATCAAGCACACGACAGCTTAAGCTTCTGAGCCTTCCAGTGCCGGAACAGAGCAGCATATAAGAATGGCATCCCTGAAGGCCGTGAAGCCAACCGGACTTGAAGGGCAGGCCAAGGAGCCTACCAAGGTTAGTGCCACCAAGGGGCCTGCAAAGCTCAGTGCCACGGCGACCAAGCCAGCAGCCGCCAAGGGCGGCATCAAGAAGGCTGAGTCAAAGCCACGGGAGCCTAAGAAGAGGGTACAACCTGCAGCTGATGTCGTATTGAGATCCTTATAACCTTCACCTTGCATGCTCTTTCCCTGATGATCTGGTGTTTTTCAAATGACAGCAGGTGAAGAGCTCCAAGCCAGCAGCAGCAAAAAACTGACAACGGCAGCAGAAGAAATGGAGCTTGCATGCTATCTTCATGGTGCTATGAATTATATATGAATCCCGCCTTTCCCTTCCTCTGTCTCCCATGATGTCGATCATGCCTCGACAGGCGCTGACAGTGTGTGTGCAATCCATGGGACGAATATTACAAATAAGACGTGTAGTTCTGCCATCTGCTTCATCTTATCTTGCTTGATGTTTCACTGCTTTCCCCCATTTTACGTGTGTTTGTTTGGGTTCGATTGGCAAATACAGTAACACAAACGCCAATCGCCGAGACCCTAAGAATCATCATCTCCGCGGTGTCGTCTGTAAAAAAAAAAAGCAAAACCCATTATGCCAACAATAATAGGAGTACATGACAAACGATTATCATGATCCTACACAACCGCAATCATCAAACGAACAGAGATTTCAGGACACAGAACTGTTACAAATTCGCACAACCAATCACCTTAAACGCTGATGATGTCTCAAAAAGTAACACTACATGAATGACCAGCCACACTTACCCAAAAATTAGAAGCACACACACTTGGTAATTATGAACAGAAAAGTCAAAGGTGGACACTTCCGAAATTACCCTATGCATTTAGAAACAACAACAAAACTTCCTCAATCAACTTTTATGTTACCTCACAGAACCCGTGATTACAAGCCTTTGTGAGTGATATAAAGTACACCTTATCTACAACTTCAAAAACAGAAGGGGTAAAAGAAGGCGTTGTTTCGACTCATGTAGGTTCGGGGACCCCAGGATCTTCAGTCGGCCATGTACTACGCCCGCGCGTTCGAGCACCGCGCGGTGGCCATCCAGCAGGCATCACCGTCCCGGACCGCTGGGTCGCTACCCGGGCCGGATTCCGTACAAGGTCGGCCTGCGCAGGCTTCCGCGGCACCCCTCGCCGCGACCGCGGCGCGCCCATTCCACCGGCTCACCTCAGCCGAGCTACTCGAGCGTCGCCGCCAAGGGTTGTGCTTCAACTGCGACAAGCCCTACACGCCCGGCCATGCCTGCCCGCGACTCTTCTACCTGGAGGTTACAGACTACATTCCGGAGGACGCCGTCGCCGCCGACCTGGCCGCCCCAGCTGCCGACAAGGTGGTGGCCGAGTAGGTGTTTGACGCTGGTTGATCATCTCGAGAAGTTCAACAAGCGCTTCCCCACCTTACAGCTCGAGGACGAGCTGTTTGTGCAGGCGGGGAGAAGTGTTATGACCGGTTTAGCTAGGCCCACCGGGCAATCTTAGCCCACAAGTTATCTTAGGTTAATTCTTATGCAAGTTATCTAGGTTATAAATATAGGCTGTAAGACTCTTTATGGAATCAAGCAATAAGAATATTATTATCCCTATTGCCCGGCTCCCAAAGGAGCCGGAACCCTAGCCGCCTCTAACCCTAGCCGTCGCCGCCATCTCTCTCCGACCCGACGGCGCCCAGCTGCCGGCCCACCCGCTCATCGCCTCGCCCCGCTCCATCCTTCCCCTACAACCTACGCAGCAGGTCCGGTAGGATCCCTGGTTCTACCACTAGCAAACCACTGTTCTTCTCTGCCATGGTTCATAGGAGTATATTACCTAACACTAAATCAATTTCTCTGCAACGAGCCAGCCCCAGCCGGCATGCATGCACAGGCGACCACATTTTCAAAGTGAAGGTAGTGGCAGACCCTACCGCCAAGGACCCTGGCGGTAGGGTATAACGGTCTACCGCCAAGGTCCTTGGCGGTAGACTATTTTTCATGTTATAACGACATTATAACGCAGTTGAATCCTACCGCCGGAGACTGTGGCGGTAGGCAGTGTAACCTACAGCCAATGACTATGGCGGTAGGAAAAGGGTCAGATCCCGAAAAAATTTCGAACCAGGGTCAGATCCTGCTAAAGTTTCGCAAAAGGGTCAAAACAACGAATTTGGCCTCCACCGGACGACCGTACTTTCCTACTGCTCTGCCTATGTCTGAAGGAGTACCAGGGGTACCGGGATGTCCGACGGCTGGCAGGTGATATGAAGCCCAAGCAAGCGATACAGGCACCTCGCGGCTGGGCCCAGGTCAAATCATTGGTCCTGACCGACTGACAAGCAAGGCCCGCCACGAAAAAAAACCTGGAGTGCGCACAAGTCACAACTTCTTATATGCCTTAGGGAGCTTAGAGGTTGAAATTAACACAGAATTCCAAGTCAACATCAATGGTGATTGAGAAGAACTACCCTCACCTCAAGTTAATGAACTCAAAAGAAATCCCATAACAGAAGACTCGGCACAGGATAATACAATATTGGCACGGCCACAATTAATACATTCGTACAGTTTAATGAGAACCGTAGCATTTTTTACTACACAAAAAGAATTCTAGCAGGGAAGGAGTTCAAGGCAAGGCGGTAAGAGCAATTACCTTCTAGAAGGGACTAATCCAACGGGCCAACTGCAATTGCCACTCAAAAACCAGGCGCCTTGGAGTTGGCGCAGAAGCTGCATTTTGGCGAGTTGCATCATCGGCATAAATAACAGAAAAGACATCTTCAACCAAAGGATCCCTTCCACCCCTAAGAGGATCCTGTGAAAAGATTTAAATAAACAAGTTAGAACAAAACTCAAGAGTAACAAGTTAGAGCCTCATAATTAGGCGAGATGTTTTAATTACATAATTATACAGCAGTTACCAGTTCAGAGGTAGCAAAGACGTGATAAGATCTCTCTCTTACTAACTAATACTCCCTCCGATCCATAATAAGTGTCGCAGTCTTGAACTAAACCAGCCTCTCTGCATTGCACTTTGCAGGGGTAAGACTAGGTTCCTATAATCCCTCCCCAGACCCCACCTTGTGTGGGAGCTTCTATGCACTGGGTCTGTCCTTTTTTAGTCTTGAACTAAGGTTAGTTCAAAACTGCGACACTCTGCCTAAGCAGATCACTCCCAAGCCGCTATGCAAGGGCCTTGCCTCCGCCACTCTGCTGATTCCCTGGATTATCTGGAAGCAGAGGAACACGTGTGGCTTCGATGGCGACCTCCCGTCTGCACCGAACACCATTGCACGTATCAAAGAGGAAGCCGCACTTTGGTCTAGAACCGGAGTCCTCGGCCTTCGATTGTTGTTGCCGACAACCTGGGACGTTCACTAAACAACCACCATGTATCTTTTACCCTCTTTGAGGGAGGCTGTACCAAACTCTCCTGCTTTCTAATGAAATGAAACGCAAAACCTTTTTGCGTTTTCTCAAAAAGAATGAAGGCAGGGGTATTTAGGGTATGTTTGGTTTGTGACAAAAACAACCATACCAATTGTTTGGTCACAACCAGAACTTTGGTCCTTGTTTGGAATTGGAATGTTGCCAAGAAAGCTTCATGCCCATGTCCCTTTTCCCACTCGAGTTCATTCTAATTGGCAATATGGCCCAATAATAGGCAAGCAAAACCTTGGCCAGAACTGGTTTGGCTCAACTATGCACACCCTAACACTTTAGTTGATTTGACAAGTCACCACTATTAAGTTGAATGATATAGCAACTACTACTTTTTCCCTACATAAAATATTCTAGTATTACTACATAGTTGGTACTAGTAGGATTCAGTGTCGCCATAACCTAGTGAACCAAGGAAAGGCCCACATAATCCCATGTTCTATCCTGAGAATTTGTTCATACAATGACCTCAAATATTTGAAATAGCACATTGAGGAGGTAGTCTTTCCAGAAATCCACCATTTTCATTTAGTAAAGTAAAAAAAAGTAAGAAAATTTGCGAATGAAGTCCTTACTGTTTGAGTAAATAGTTAGCATATGAATCAAGTTGGACTTTACAGATATAACTACTATAATATACTATGACACAAAAAATGATTCATTATCGACATCCACATTTATCACCTGTATAAATATATCTGTATGTGTTTTCCCTTCGTACAATAATAATGTGGCCTGGGCACCAACTTGTTGAAGGACGTCTACAAAAGTTCGACTGCACATAAAAAGCAGAGTAACTTCTATCGTGAAATTGGGAAACATTATGTCAGTTAAACAAGGGAGCAATCAACTAAATATCAATCCAAGTAACAGGCAATAGATCAACCTTGTAGGCTTGCACTAGAAGCAGCAAAATATAAATGAGTAGAAAGTCAAAAAGAATTCTCAGACGTAGTATTATTGTTACAGGTGAAATAGTTGACACTTAATGCTGCACATGTAAAACCAGAGAGAATATTCATGTCTAGTCAGTTAATCCCCAAACTTGCCAGTATTTTGACAAATATACTATCATCTGGACTTCTGGAGTTTAACAAAGAGTGGTGTATGAATAGTTCTGCTATTGTTCCTATCAAAGAAAAGTGTGAATATACCTTTCAACTTTGCAAACTTTATGTACAGTTTTGGTTTTAATATACTTCATCTTCAACAATTACCTTGGTACTAAAAGAGATGCTAAAAGCCTAAAAGTGGAGAAGGAAAGACCATGACATTTAACTTAGAAAAGTTTGACGCTGTGACTGCGAAAGGGTATGTTACCTTACCCCAGCTTGGTTTATTGTTTCATGAAATCCAACTAGAGTATTTTCTGTAGCCTTTTCAACTCACTGAAGTTGTATACTGTAAATTGAAATGCCAAGGCGAGATATCCTACACAACCTTGGTTTATTGTTTCATGAAATCCAACTAGAGTATTTTCTGTAGTCTTTTCAACTACTCCCTCCGTTCCTAAATATTTGTCTTTTTAGAGATTTCAAATGGACTACCACATACGGATGTACATAGACATATTTTAGAGTGTAGATTCACTCATCTTGCTCCGTATGTATTCACTTGTTGAAATCTCTAGAAAGACAAATATTTAGGAACGGAGGGAGTAGATCAGAAGAACAGACAGTGACTAAACTAAGATGCCAAGGAAAGTTTGTTTTAATAAATTGAGATGCAGATGAACTTGCACAGTAAAAGAATTTCCTTTTACCACGACATCAAGAATTTTTGGAGGGTAGGTGGGTATGGTTTGCCCTTCATTGTGTTAAATAAACATCTGCAGAAGACATAAACAAACCTGGCAGACGATGGTATTGAATAATCATCTGTTCCATGCATAAGAAAGATACGAGGAAGTAGAGCTATGGTCCGGGTACTCGACTCCTTGACAACAATTTCAGGAGAATAACGTGACAATGCTTCTTCTCCCTCCATTATACTGAAACAGTAATTGTGCTTGGTGTCAGTATCAATTTATTATTAAATAGATGGATCAAAACATAGTCATATTACTACCTGAGAAATATTGAACGGTTCAGACCACGCTGATGGAAATGGTCGACCAAATTATGGATGTTGTATCTGCAAAATATTACTGTTACTGAACCATGTCGAGTGTCCACCATTATACATCCGAAAGGAAACATAAAATATTGGAGGTCAAGTTTTATTTGTAATCCAATGAAAAAGAAATATCACAATATATATTTCAAGATAACTTTGAAGTACAAATCTATCAAACTCCATGTGACATTGGAATATGATGGTGTCCTCTTTGTAGACTAGAAGCAACTGGGACTAGGTGAAGGAGTTTGGTAGTGGCGTCATTCCAAAAATTTGGACCAAACTATTATTGTAATTACTGGCAGAGGAGAAGTTGGAAAATTTATAAGGTCTTCTAAAAGACAATCTATACAGCCATCTGGTTGCAAATACAAAGACAACAATTGGTTTGGTTTTACTATTTTAAGTCTAGCTCTCATATTGATACGTTCGAATTAGTTCAAATCCAGAACATACAAAATATGATCACTGCAATTACTTTTTGAATACACAAAAGGGCAACCTAATGTGTACCCAGTATCTGGCCAAATATCTGAAGTCAATATCTTCCAGGAGCAATCACTCAAATATTCTGTGAACAATATGAAATTTAACCTTTGGTTATGGGTTTTAAGGAGTATTCTAAAACCAAAACCCCTAAAATGTCATCACAGCTTACAGGAGCTCTGATGCTTGTACTATCTTAAGTTCCACAAGTAGTTGAATAGTCATGCACAAAAGACTAACCAGCAAGGAACCTAAGATCTCACCCTCCAGATAAACCAAAGTATGCCTTGATTTGTGTAACACTCCAAAAAATGGGCTGTCCGCTAGACTCTTTTACTGCCTGTTCCATTAGGGCACATGCTGAAATATGTGCTCCTGCTGACTGACCCATCAAGTAGATCCTACAAGTTTATCGTAAAATCAACTAGGTCATACAGAGTTATGATAACTGAAATGCCGTGCATATACAAACATCACTATGGTGGAAGGTATCAGTAATGATAATAAACAGAATGATGTAAATATATGCCATCAACATAATGCAAAATGACATGTAAATATTTATAAAACTTAAGCTAGCACAAGGGCTTTAAGTAAAGTTCTAAGAAGTGTCCAGTGTATAAAAAGAGGTCAAGTTTCCTGAATAATTCATCAATAATTTGTGGCTATCTAGCTGACAATCATCGGTTAACCGAATCATGCATCTTCTTAAGCAAATGACATGAATTGGCACGTAAACTTAGCCTAAGGGAAAAACTGCTCTTTGTGGTCATTCAAAAGTCACTTTCGTACACACAAAAAAATGGTTATCTTACTGATTAGGATCACCTCCATAACTAGCAATGTTGTTACACACGAATGAGATCCCCTGAGAAGCATCGCTAACCATGTCACTTATTGTTCCTTGAGGAAAATTTCTGAAAATAGACGTGTGAATATTGTGTCAAGCAAATAAAAAGTGAAACAATTGTTTCATATTATTAACAAAATAATATGGAGTGATTTCAACGGAAATCAAGCAGCACCTGTAATCAATGCAAGCAACTATGATTCCTCTCTCAGCCAACCGCCTGCCAAGAAGGGCACCCCATGCCTTGTAACTGAATTTCGAGCAAGGTTGTCAACAAATGAAGTCGCCGTGAAGGATTAACGGAATGCGTAGTTGCAAAAATATCAGCTCACCCAATAATCCAGGCCCCACCAGTTACAAAGGCCACCACGGGACAGGGTCTTCTATTATCTTTGGGTATATACAAATCTAACCTGTTTCTCGGTTGTTCTCCATAAACTATACTTCTACGAACCTGACTTGAAAAGAAATAGTAATATCCAACTGCAGTAAGAAAAGAATGTTTTCAGAATGCTATAGGATATCGATGATACCATATTCTAATAAAATGAGCCAACAATCCAAGGGTCCATTCAAGAAGCAGAAGACCTCATGAACATCAGAAATAACAAAGAATATCCATCCACATGCTCCTTGATGTGCATAACAAAAACTAATAGCGCAATCCCTGAAATGGTAACCTGTCTGCAATATACCTTGCAAAAAACCTGGCATAAGTAGAATGGCATAGACTGCAAGGGCAAGAAGCTGCCTCATCCAGCGGTAACCTAACCTGAATAATAATAAAATTAGAACGGGAACAGAAAAATATCAACAGTGATTCTATTCATCACTACATTCTGACAAAAAGGGTGAAAATTGTCAGTGAATCTTAACCTATCAAGATGGACGTAGTTTTGAACTACAATAAGGGCAAGAATTTGCATGGCCTCCCCATGCCATACTTCAAAATAAATTTCCTTAATATATTCCCAGCAATTTTCAGTACGGACTCATAATGCAGCATCAAAGGGATACAAACACAATGAGCACACAACCTGGCTTTGCGCCGCTAGGATGCACACAACCAACTACTCTAGTGAATACATGACAGGCTTATTTATGTTTCAGCAGAACTGCTTGCAAGATCGTCCCCCCGATGCATCTCTTGGAGACGGTTATGACAGAAATAGCTGTATTGTTGTAGTAGCAAAGATGCGAAACACGATTCTAAGGCAGATAAAAGCGATCCCCTCCTTGTTCCGTCTTTTACAACGAAAAGGGCCAAGATCTTCAAATCAAGATGGATACAGGTTTTTTATTTGTTTCTGAACAAATGGTTTGTTATGCAAAGACAAAGCCCGCACGACAGGGAAACAGTTATGTGGTCCCCGAAGCTTAATTCTAGTCCATGTCCCTCACGCAATTGCGTGATCAAACAACCTTGTGGAGTTGGCTTCTCCATAGGGATTGATATGAAGCTGCCTTGGCAACTCAGCCATCTCAACGACCTCCGGGCATAAGGAAGTTTCCAAGTAGAACTGAAATTTTGGGTCGCTACAGGAGCATCAAAACCATCACCACTACCGTGCGTGTTGCATCATAGCGATCGCCCTCGAGTTGGAGTGCCTCGTGGCGATTGAGACAGTGGAGTAGCTAGCGAGGAATTTCGGTGATTACCCGAGGTACTGCAGCAGGGTGAAGGTGAGGCGCGTGACGAGGTAGGTCTCGGAGGCGGCATGGCCGACGTCGTGGCGGAAGGACGACTGCCTCCTGGGGCCGGCCGAGCCCTGGGGCCTCGGGGACGCGGACTGCACGGGCGACGAGCGGCGGCGGCCGGCGGAGTCGCTCCGCGGGAGGAGCGCGTCCGCCTCGCGCGCGTCGTCCCCGGAGGGGGGAAACTGCATTGCCATTGCGTGGCGAAGGCTCGGGAAGGTCCGCCGGGCGGTTGGGAGTGGGAGATTCGAGTTGGTGCGGAAGAATGGAGCGGGGAGGAGGGGCGCGCCTAAATAGGAGGAGGAGGAGGCGGGCGGGGAGCGCGAGCGCGAGTGCGTGGCGTGGAGGGACGCGTGGGGGAGGCGGGGCGAGCGCAGCAACATGCCGCAAATCCTCGTTTGCCTCCTTGCTTCGCCATTCTTCCGGCGTGGGCGGACTTTTGCAGGCTGAGAACTGGGAACCGGACGAGGCTTTCGGTGTCCAAGGTAGTCGAGTTGGATACAGCAACACGAATGCTGTGACACTGTCGAAATTCGAAAAATTATTTACTCGTGGTAGGAGTACTACTCATCGTGCGTTATGGTCAGTTGGTCACACACAGAGCATATGTCCTTTGCCAGCAAAAGGATGCGTAGAAGGCTCAATGATGGATGACGAGCACAGCACACGACGCTGGGGAGGCTCAGGCCCCAGCAAGGAAATCTCTTCCGTTATTAGAAAATTAGAAATTTGAAAGAAAAAAAATGAAACGATGACAACAAACACGAGAGTGTGTACCTAAATGGCCCGATGATGCAATTTTTTGTATGGGCTAAAATGATTGGTGAGTGGTGTACCGTGGTAGGGCCGCGTATATGATTGTGGCGTGAGGCAGGGGAATCTTTGCAGGTTCTAGAGCTTCGTTTGCGGTCTCTGGAGCGAGGCGTAGCTGGCTTTAGGGTGCGGCTGTGAGGTGAACGCCGCTGCCGTCCGCGTCCGGCTCGGTGGGCCCGCGATTACGTGTCGCCGCGCCACGCGTTAGAACCCAAGTGACTTTGCTCCTAGTTCCCGACACGGCTGGCCGGCTGATGCGACTCATTGGAAACGTGACGCTTCACGTGGCAAAAGGCACAAATTTAATCTCACGAAACTATTTCACAAACTAAACCGTTTTTAAAAATATTTCACCGAATTAACCTTTAATGTGCAGCGTCTGATAGATGCGGCGCCTAACACTCAGGCGTCATAGTGCAGCGTCTACATGTAAGGAGCTGCACAGTAGGGTGCAACGTCTTACTATCGGGCGCTGCACAAAAGGGTCAACGATGTGATTTTTTTTTAAAACAGTTTGGTTTGTAAAACACTTTTACTCTGAGATCAATTTTGCCGCTTCACTTTCCTCGAACGAATTCCTCAACAAGCCTGGACCCATAATCTTGGGATCCTTGTAACTTTAGAACGTTCGTTTATGAAGGTAGCACATAACGATTATGTGACAGTTTTAGTTTTGATAAAGTGGTGAGGGATGGCATTCTTTTCAGAGAATATATCAATTTCTTCTTGAAAATAATTTTCATTTAAAAATTGTCCCTGTTTTATCTCTTATCGAAATTTAGGGTCTGTTTGGTTGAAGACTAGTGTGGCCAAGCCAAAGTGTGGCTAGCCACACAAATATGGCAAGCCACACAAGTGTGACTAAGAAATTGGACGCCAAACTTTGGCAAAAGTTGGTAAAAAAATTGTCTCTTTAACAAGTGGGCCATAGGGGCAATAAAGTGTGGCAAGCCAAAGTGTGACAAAAAACCAAACACATGCTTGTCAAACTGTGGCTGCCAAATTTTGGCTTGGCAAACTGTGGCCGGGAACCAAACAGCTTCTAAAATTGCCATCACACATGGTTCACTGCCACCCCTCTCCCAGTGAGCGAACGTAGGTAACATTACGGCAACTTTGTCCTCTTTTGCACGCAGGAATGGGGCACGTAGATTTTCAGCCGCCGATCTACGTTAATATTTAAAGGACATGACTAACATCCTAACGTTTGGAATTTAGGGGACATATCCGGACGATCCTTTCTATCTCCCTCACACGACCTCCCATGTATGCATGCATGCTTTTCTATTTGTGTTTTCATCAATCCTTGTTTAATTAAAATCTTCTAATTACATCCATGTAGAAAAAACGAAATAGATGATGTCAGCAGATTCTTTTTGGAGATTGAAAATCAAAATGTTTTGTAGCTCAAACCATCGGCCGTATTGAAAAATTGTCTTCACATAAAAGATTCATCGCAACGAAACCTTTGAAACTAGATCCCATGTTGATATGTTCTAATGGTTTTTTTCGGGTAAAAATTTACCACGCATGTGCTACTTAAGTTATCACGACTGTGACACACAGTTACCAAGCTGTTTTCATAGGAAATACCGGGCATAAAAAGATGGTATTTTAACTTTTCTTCTCATGTGCACATGCATATATGCACTAGACGACAAAACTATGATGTTATCCAAGATTCTCCCTATTTCAAAATTTTAAAATATTTTGTAGCTCAAATTGTCACTTAGATCGAAAAACTATTTTCACATACAAGATCCGTCAGGAGAGATCTTCGAAACTAGACCCTGTGTTAGTATGTTTCGACAGACTTTTTTCAGAAAAAAATACCACGCATGTGCTACGCAAGTTATGATGCTAGTTGAGCGTAAGTTATCATGTTGCTTACGCAGAAATTATTGAGGCATAAAAAATGATTTCTTCAACCTTCTTCCCACATGCACATGCGCTAGCCCTAGAGAACTGAAAATGCTAATGTCAGGGAGGATTCCACCAAAATTTAAAAAAATTAAAATATTTTGTAACTCAAACAGCCGCTCTGGTACAAAAACCATTTTCACATGAAAAATCGCTGCGACAAGGCCTTCGAGACTAGATCTCATGTTGGTATATTTCGACAACTTCTTTCGGTCAAAAGGTTATCAGGCGTAGACTAAGTTTATTAACTCCGTTGTGTGTATATTACCATGATATTCACACACGAATTACCGAAGGGTGTTTTTTAACAAGTCCCTCCCCCTCCCGGTCAAAAGTTATCACGTCTGGACTAAGTAAGTTATCAACTTAGTTGTGCATGTATTTTCAACAACAAAAATCATGGGTCAAAATTATCGCCATGTTTGTACATAAGTTATCAGGTTCGTGAGCCTGTGTTACCATGTTATTTACAGAGTATGTTTTCAATAACTTTTTCCCACGAGTCAAAAGTTATTGTGGTGTTTGTACATAAGTTATCAGGTCCGGGAGCATGTGTTACCATGTTATTTATAGAGTATGTTTTCAATAACTTTTTTCCACGGGTCAAAAGCTATCGTGATGTTTGTACCTAAGTTATCAAATCCAGATGCATATATTATCACGCTTTTACATAGGAGTTATCGGTGGTATGTTTTTAACAACTTTTTCCACGGGTCAAAGTTATTGTGGTGTTTGTATCTAAATTACCAGGTTCGGGAGGCTATATTATCATGCTATTTACACAAAAAGCAATTGGTTGTATGTTTTTAATATCTTTTTCTCCGGGTCAAAATTATCATGGTGTTTGTATACCTGAGTTATCAGGTCCGAGGGCGTATATTACCATGCTATTACTTAGAAGTTATAGGTGGTATGTTTTAATTTCATCAACCTTTTTCCACGGGTCAAATTTATCATGGTGTTTGTAGCTAAATTATTAGGTCAGGGGACGTATCTTACCATGCTATTACTTAGAAGTTATTGGTGGTATGTTTTCAACAACTTTTTCTCACGGGTCAAAATCATCGTGGTGTTTGCATCTAAATTATCAGGTCTGGGAGCCTATATTATCATGTTATTTACACAAATAGTTTGCTGAAGTATGTTTTCAACGATTTTCTATAACCAAATAATGGGTAAGTCGGTCTACAATAATCATGTTTCTATAACATATACAACTTGGTAACTATAAAATTAACCATGTTGATAACTACAACCCGGTGACTACATAATTGTTATGTTGGAACTACATATAGTCTTCCCTCCTATGATGACCCCTCTCTCACCAAATTACTACGAAGATTTGCTTGAATTCTACCATGATATGACGCGCCACCTTTCCTTTGCCAACATCTCCCACCTGTCCAAGTGCATATCATGTTGAATCCTCTTTGATCCCACCACCAATGTTGTTCTCGGTATCATCGGAGTGCTCGCGGGGATGACTACTTCCATCAAGAAGTGAACCACAAAATGATTCATAAGTGAAAGAAAAACTGGAAATGCATTCTCTATAGAAGTACAACAAGATCCGAGTAGTACCAATTCCTAACAGAAGAAAAAAACAAATGGAGGGTTGCACCATAGCAGTGGCCTACTCGCGGTAATCGCATATCTACTGTATTAGCCCACTTCCAAACAGGACATGCAGTTGGCTGAGATGGTTACCAGGTATAGTCGAACTGAGGAGTGAGGCTGCAGGTGCAGGGTTCGAATCCTGTTGGCGCTACTTTTTTGAAAAAAATGAGCCAACGACCGATGATGATGGAAGTCGTGCGTGCCTGTCGCTAATGACCAGTCGGCAGGAACTTAGCTTTAATGTCGTTTGTACATAGGTTGTCTGCTCTTGTATAACATTCATTATAGGTGCATAATGCATATTGTAAATTTGACTGGCATTGTTAGAATTGATCTGAGGCAGGGTCGTCGGTCATTCGAGAGTCAACCAATCACACGAGCACAACGCTGAAATTTATTAACGAGGTTCACTAACATGGCTACAACCTCAAAGCCTGACTACATACTGAAAGTGCAACTATCCCTAGGTGGTTTTGGTAATTCCTAACAACATATAGCTCATTGAGCTAATACTATTCCAAGACAAATATTTCAGGAAAGCTCAATGAATGGCATGGCATGGATGAGAAAACTGGATCCCTCAAAATGCTAAGGATAAAAGGATTGGCTCAAGCTTCAAGCTCAAGACTCTACATTTTATATTTTAGTGATCCAAGATCACATTGAGTCTATAGG